AAAAATCTTAAAATACAGAATGCATTACCTCCTAGAATCTATGGATTGCCTAAACTACATAAACCTGGTGTACCTCTAAGACCCATAGTGTCATGCATTCAATCCCCTTGTGAAAAATTATCAAAGTTCCTTAAAAATATACTACAAAACGTTATAAATCAAAATCAATATTACATCAAAAACTCTTTCGATTTTAAAGAAAATATAAAAAATGTCAGAATACCTGAAAACTATGTTTTGATCTCGTTAGATGTCACTTCTCTATACACAAATATTCCCATCCCTTTAGCTAAAGATATAATAAAGAAAAAATGGCCAAAAATTAAACATTTCACAGACATTCCGTTAAATCACTTTCTTGAAGCTGTAGAATTAACATTAACATCAACCTATTTCTTATTCAATGACAAATATTAGAGGCAGGTCGATGGTTGTGCAATGGGAGCATCGATTTCCAGTGTTATTGCACAGTTAGTAATGGAAGATTTGGAAGAATCCGTACTAAAAAATATAAATCTTCATATCCCCCTATTTTATCGTTATGTCGATGACTGCGTAAGTGCTGTCCCAAAAACTGAAATCGATGATATTCTAGAGAATTTTAATTCATACAACGACAAACTTCAATTTTTAATAGAGATCGAAAAAAATAACGTCATTAACTTTCTAGACCTGACTCTATACCACAGCAAAGACCAGATCAAAACCAAATGGTACACCAAAGATACTTGGTCATCTAGGTATGTAAGTTTCAACTCCCAACATACCATCACCCAAAAAAAATCCGTAATAATAGGTTTAGCCGACCGAGCTATTAAACTGTCCGATCCTGAGTACAGACAGCAAGCTATTAAAAAAGCAAAACAAGCCCTAAAATTAAACTGTTATCCGGATGTATTAATAAATAAAATTTTCAATAAACGGATACATCAATTTTACAATCAAAATGCTGGTAACAAATCCGAGAAGAAAAATACTCAAAAACAATATCTCCCATTACCGTATGTTCCAGGGCTATCGGAAAATTTGTGCAATGTGTTCAAACAACACGACATTACTTTGGCACACAAAGGTTATAACCTATTAGAACAAAACTTTAGTAAATTAAAATCAAAAATCCCTGACGAGAAAAAAAGCCACGTGGTGTACCAAATACCGTGCCAAAATTGTAACGGTGTCTACATCGGACAAACTAGTCAATACTTAAAAAGTCGCTTAAACGGCCATAAATATGACAAAAAAAATAACTCTCTTTCGAGCCATTCCAGGGAGAATCAGCACTCGTTTGACTTTCAAAGTGTGAAAATTTTACGCTCAGAAAGGCACACAAAAAGACGGGAATTTTATGAAATGATTGAGATCCAAAAAAATCCAAACGCCATAAACTCTAACACTGACACAAAAAATCTCAGCAAAATTTATCACAACTTAATTAAATAAAGAGACACGTTAACCCGTGAATCTCACACAAAAAAAAAAGCTTTAGAAAAAAAAAAAAACTCCGTTGTCCTACCGTGAAGAAACGTACATCCGGGCTTCGCATTATTGTTTTGGTTCGTCGTCTTATCAATGTGGCTTGTCGATTTACATATTCGATATGTCTGTTGTGAATGTTGTAAAACTGTAAATCACCAAACAAGGAAAACAATGCTATAAATAATTTTATGTAAAAATACATTTTTGTAGGTTAAAATTAAATGTCTGAAGAAGGTCTTGAAGGCCGAAACGTCACAAAAAATAAAATGTTTCACAAGTAACGGAAACTTATTTTAATTTCACTAAAAAAAGGACCAAAAAAAACCCAAGAACCATTTCTTAAGTGTATATATATATATATATATATATATATATATATATATATATATATATATATATATATATATATTATTAATGAAATTATTTAAGCATTGTTATCGAAAAAACTTATACAAATTGATATACTAGACAAAAGTGAAATTCGCTCTTCTACTTTCGGTTTTAGGAAAAAATCGTAATTACCTTTTGAGTAAAAAAAAAGAGGTGCTACTGAACTAGAGGATAACTATACACGGTGTTTCCTTTAAAATCGTTGGAAAAATACAACGTGGCTAATTTAACTGTTTTCGTAGCTTCAATAATAAAGAAGTTAGCAATAGTAACGAGACAAGATTATTCAGGCCATATTTGCGAAAAGGATTACATATTGCGCTTTATTATTGTACAACGGTTTTTTTTAAAAAACCTTCTGCAAATTAAATTTCCTGGGCTTTGAGACACTCAAACTTCAAGGATAGTTTTGCCTTTGAACAACAACTTGTTTTTTCTGGCATCTCCGGAAATAAGCGGATTTTCTCCAATTTGTCAACAGAAAAACATTGCGAGTTCCCTAGAGAAGAAGTGAGGCTTGCATTATGTTCATTTCTTTGTCGGAATCTTTCCGCGCTTTTAATAAAACCTTTTATAACTCGGCTGCAGTAATAAATTTAAATCCGCAATATGGAAATCAAAACAGCTGGAGTTTATCCCATCAAGATTTCACGCAGTCACGTCAGAATCGTGTTTTTTGTTGGTAACCCATAAATCCCAGAACTGAATCGCAACCGAACTTTGACCTTTATGATTTTCTGTCTTAATGGCCGAAGCCCGTGGCAGGAGTTTTTAACGAAGCCTTCATAAATACAAAGGACATATAACAATCATTCGGTTCCGTTATCAACCACTGGTAGCATCAGTGGAGGCGGTGAGGTGGGGAGGGATGCGGGAGTAAATAAAAAAATGATTGTCTCCTCACATAAACTTTTTAAGCAATTTATTTTTGCAAGGACAAACTTTTATCTGATCGATTTACATGGGGACGTCTTATCATAAAATATAGGAGATGCAACAAATTGACCGAACCCGGTCAACTAACCGAAAGGTTCCCGAGGGTAGCAGTTGATTAACGGAACACAGTTTAAAATTCAGTTAAATATCGTAATGAAAATACAGTTTTTGCAAAAAGGACTGTTAAGCAAAGTGACATGCTTTAAAAAAAATATTTTAAAGATTTAATAGCATTAGTAATAATAAAAAATAAAAAGAAATCAACTGACTGGGTATTTGGGCATGAAGAACGTGGTGTTGTCGAAACAATTGTCATGTAAAAATATATAATTTCGTGAAAATCTGAACTTTTAGTTCTTATTTATTTTGATAAATGAATTTTCATCAAGTAAAATAAATAATAAAATAATAAATATTTATTTATAGTTTTGTTCGCATAAACACTACTCGTTATTCTAATATTTATATAATGAATACATTTGTTTTGTATTTATAAAGTTGTCGTTTAGTGGATGTTTTTGTATATTCCATGGTCGATCGTTACTTTTTAATCTTTTATATCTTGGTGGAACTTCTTCACGGCACCAAGATTTTCGGAAAATTAATTCAGATGTTTTACATAAATTTCTCTAACATGTTTTTTACAATGCCTTTGTAACTCGGATATTTGTTGTTTCCTAGAAACCTTTTCATAATATCAGCAAATAAAACCCATGCAACCTTTTCAGATTCGACTATGGTATTTACAGTCTTGATCTCTCGTTAATCGTCTTATTTGAGGACCTACAAAAATTCCATCGTTTAATTTTACATACTCCAACTTTAACGAAATGCTTCATCAGTCCTAAATTAATATCCAACGGTGGTAAGAGTAAGTGTAAGTAAGGCCATCGTGAAGAATATTTTTTGAGTCGGGAGTTAAATAAACCCTTTTTGGGCAGTTCTTTTTCACCAAATGTGGTTGCTGAGAAATATTCCATATATCACCAACATTACTAAGGGTATCTTCATCTATTTCTGGTTCAGAAAAACTGCTGGTATCTTCTTCTAAATTGATTGGATTCTCAGATATTGGGACATCTGGACCACGTGGCACTGGCATAATTGCAGGCTTGAGATTTGGATAAACAATATTTTTCAATTTTTAGTATTACATCCACGAACATTTTACATGCAGAAATAGCAGTTGTCATGGTGATTTGTTGACTCTCTCCATATCATGGGTATTCCAAAAGGTAGGGATTGCCTGGTTCGATTATTCCAATGTCTTAAACCTTCTTCACATACCTTACAAACAATATGTGGTGCCCAAGGTCTATCTTGATCACCATGGTTTACTTTAAAATAAGCGCAGTATTGTTTTTTAAATTTTCTGACAACACCAAAGAACGACGCACATAGCAAAATGTATCTATATCTTCAAATAATGAACAATATCAAATCACAAAATCTTTGTCGCCCTGTGTAACTGCAGTATTACTATAAAAAGTACCTTCATAGGAAAACATTATTTTAGTCAAAAAATTTGGATCGGCCTCTACAGCCTCATTTAAAACAGTGCAGAAGTTTATCCTTTGTTCAAAATCACGGTCTACAATGAATTTATTTACTCAGTTGTCAGGTAAAAATGTGACACTGTCATTTTATCATGGCCAAGTAATGTTATAGCAATAGTCTTAGCCCAAACGAGGGTAATTATTGCAAAAGTTATAATAAATTGCAAAAACATTAAAAATAAATAAATCATATGGTGCGCAATTTAGAAAAATCGAGGTTCTTCAATTTGAAATTATCAAAACTATCTTCATCATCTACGTCACTTTCGAATAAGGCAAACATGACTGATCTATCTACAAAAGTAATCCCGTTATCGTAATTTTTATTCAGAGCGTGAAAATTAGTAATTTTTAGAAAAATCCAAATTTTGGAAAAAAAGTTTATGAATTTTAAATTAATTAATTAGAAACAACATATAAAAATAAAAAATGTATTTTTTTATTCGTTACGCTTTTTACTTTATGTTACTACTTTTAAAAAAATTCGAACATTTGTATTTAACATTTTCTTATAACTTTTGAAAAGAATGGGCACTAAGGAGTGCGAAAATATAGGTACAATTATTTTATTAGCAATTAAATTCTTTTATAACAAAAAATAAATAGTAATAAAAGTAATTAATTAAAAGTATATTTGCTTACGTTGTTGGTTTGATCTTCGTATGATATTCTCCAAAAAGGTATTCTGAGGTGCGACAAGCCCTCTCCTACCCCCCGGCATTGTGGTCGAAATTCTTTCACCTTATAACCAAGTTATCTCACTGTCACCTAGACGTCGGTCTTTTGGGCATATTAACAAAAATATCTCGCATCGTGGCCTTCATGCCGCGGCGCGCCACTGCATTTACCAATCGTCTTTGTAATTAAAATATTTACTATGCATTTTAAAACAAACTTTCGATCCGTTTGCATGTTTCGCGTCGATTTTCCTCTTAATTGTAATTGCGTGCCCCAGGCTTGGAAAAGTCCGCCCCGAAACCGGACTCGATCTTTACACGGTGACACAGATTTTGAATAATTTTCATTTTTGTTTCGGCGAAATTTTGACGTTTCAGTGCGGGTTGACGTGTCAATGTGTGTCGGTGAACTAAAGGGTTAAAATCAGCTTTGCTCGTAGGAAGAACAACGTTGCCATCTCGAATGGAACTTTAAAATAGAGGTTTTTGTGAAAAGGGCACATTAAAAGCTACAACTCTTAAATGTGAACTAACCAAAAGTACCAATAAGACAATAACACACCCACGTTCCTTAATTAATAAGCTTGGCATTTCCATCTATCCATAGATCACTTAAATAATGAAAATTGATTGAAAAAAATCTAGAAGGATCGTAATTTTTGCGACCAAATCGACGATCTGACAACCGCGCGGTGCATGGAAATGAGGAAAATCGAAACGCGACTACAACGCCCGAGCGTGCGGGATTTTCCGGAACTAATTCGAATGAATATGAAGTAGGACAGCATAATGAACCACCGAACGAGGTTATTTGAATAAAAAATATTTTGATGCGGTTTTGCTATTTAAATTGGGGCAATGCTTTCATCCGAACGAAATGAAAAATACCATCAAGTTTGCTGTTTCATTTGTTACTTTATTTTGTTAGAGTCTATTGCGCTATAATTGACTTTAAACAGAAAGCAAACGAATATTTGTTTTCGTTGTTTAGGTACAGGCGTTCAAAATTTTCAGAGGGTTCTTCCACGTTTTTAATGTAGTTGTGATTGTTTAAATTTCGTTAATTTCCTAAGAGTTCATCTATCACAAACATAATTCTTTTTTGCCTATGCAGTTTGTGAAAAAAAGTTCTGATTAATACTTGTTACACCAGCATTATAAGGAGTACTTTGCCTGTATCGGGCGACACATGAAAGTGGAAATATTAACTTTAACAGTTTTAGGCTGAGTTTAATATATAGGCGTCATGTGCAATTTTTTGATGACTAGTTAATGGTGTAACTGATGGAAATAGGTTTTGATTTTTCAAAAGCGCAGCCTGTATTCTTTGTAATTGTTGGATTCAACAAATTGATGTAGATAGTTGTATTTGGGTTTGTTTGCAGTTTTTCGTCCCACTTATTTGGTTTTAAAAACTTTATCTTGCTTTGTTTGTTAATGTGAGAGAGTTATGAATCATTATTGAATGGTAAAACTTATGGTACTCCATAGGCGTAGTATTGTACCTAATCCTGTGATAATTTCCAAGGATCCCAAGAGTGGCAGGTAGACGGATAGGTAGTTGACCCACCTGTGCATTTAAAATTGGAATTATGGTCTTGCAGGTAGCTGTTGGCAAAGTTCATTCTTGAACATGGCTTTTACAACCAGTTTTAGACAGTTTCTAAGGGAAAACCCCAATATCTGTTATCTGGATGAAACTTGGGTAAATTAAGCTGTGATGAAAGGATGGTCCACTGGAACAAAAGCATTCGCTCTTCACATTCGTAGTAAAAATGAACTAGAGAGTGTCATGAAGCCATGAAAACTTATGTTTTTGAAGACTACTTCCATATACTAGATCCTATTCCTTCTTGATCTGTTATGGTTAAAATCCGAAAAAATACCCACGTCTTCCTGGAATAAATTCATGACATTGGCTTAGTTTAAATAAGAAGTATTTTTAGAAAAATATGCTGAATAGGGAGATACTAGAGATTGTAAATTTAAATAAACTTCTCTGGAAGAAATTTGTTGTCGGCGAAATCGGTTCAAAACGAAATATAACGGTACTTCGCCTTCCGCCATATCACTGTGAATTAAAAGCCATAGAACTGACAACTGGTATGGGCCCAAGTAAAATGGTTTATTGCAAAGCATAACACAATAAAGACAGTGAATTGTGAAAAATGGTCCATGCGTCCATTATGTGATTGAAATAGACTGAAGAATGTAGGAAGTTGATAACATGCTAGATAACTCTAGAGTGTCTTATTATTTCTCTCGACTACTACGAATAAGTTGAATAATATTTACAATTTAAAATTGTAAATGGTAGGGTTTTTTTAGATAATATTTATAAGTATTTATCAACCTGTTATTATTCTTACGTTTATATGAGTTTTTATTTACACGATCTGAGAATAACTAATATTTGAATTATCTGCCCTTATTATTAATATATTTGTTAATCTAATAAACTACCTGTAGTAGCGCCGCTGTCACAGCACATTCATTTATTGAACTGGTGTGCTGTATGCAAATTAGTGCGACCCTAATTTAGCAACTATTGGAATCTGAGCCTTACGACATCCAGCCTGTTTGGTGATCCCTCTCATTGCAAATTTACATTTTATGACCCTCTTGCATTAAGAAACATAGTACGGCCCTATTTTTTTTAAAGATATGACAGCAGTCTAGAAACAATTAAATAGCAAAATCAAATATCAATTTTTTTTTAAATGGCGGTTGTACTACGTAATATCTAAAGTTATCGGCCTTTTTGGAAGTAATTCATTCACTGCATATGGTTGAAAGTTTTCTTGACCTAAATATTGAACCTCCAGAATTTCAAACCGGGCGTTCCCATTTTGCTACGACACCGGATATTTCTAGTTACTAAAGAAGTTCTTTATTGAGATAATTCAATGATAACAACAAAATTTATCAGTATACTCTTAAAAATGTATTTTAAGGGTGATCATGAAACAGTATAGTATCTAAGCAACCTAAATATTATTAATAAATTTTAAAAATTTTAATAATTAAATTTTAAATAATAAATTTATTTTATTTCTGCTATAAAGTTTTGTTTATAGCTTCCGCGTCAGAAAGGAAACTGCAGCGCCATTCAACGTTCGGTAGCCAAACTGAGAAGCGCCGATCAACTATTGGGATCTAAAGGTCAGACATTGACCCGTAAAAAATCGGTAATTCAGGTACCTAACAGTCAAAGTTTAATTCACATTTCTGTCGTTAGATGACAGACTTTCTATTCTTTCCAACTTATTCTTTGTGAGGAACTCATTGTTTTTAAATCCCAGCTGATTTATAAAAGTATACAATCCAAAATACATAAATATTATTTTCTTATATCAGATTATGTATTAATTTCATTTTCAGCAATGGAACAATGATTAGACAGAACATGTGAAATATTTTCCGGACTCTGCTTCAATAGATAATCCTCATCTTACCTTTTTAGTAATCGAGGCCTAATTTTAAATAGAAATAAAGTACTTATTCCAAAACTTTTTGTGGGCTTCACTTTTGTGTTGTAAAGAAAAATGGTTGCAAGTTCATGCCTAACATTAACTCTATAAACGTGCAATGTTATGTAATTAGTCAATGCCCCTAAAATACAAATAACCAATGCATATTATTATTGTTTAAAAAGTAAAATTATGATGCCATTAATGTTCCCTCGAAAAATTAAACTTATATTTGTAAATATATGGTTAATCAATTTTATTTTTCCTTATGTGAGCTTTTTTGTTTCTAAAAATTTCCAATTGTTTAAAGAAGACTTACTTATGTTAGTTACAATGCAACTGTCAAATTACAATAATTGGTTTTCAGGATATAGCGTAAGCTAGGTGTTTTTCTTAGAGGAAATGTTTGAGCTTTAGACATCCTTAGCGTTCTAAAAAGACGGTCTAGCGGGCTATGAGTTTGAGTATTGATAAATGCATGGACACATAACACAATAGTTTGTTTTATTGGAGTGGGCTGTCGTTTAAGTTGACGTCTTTGTGTGTGCGTATTGTTAAATGTATGTAAATTATTTTATTATTTTAAAAGTTACTTTTATGCACTACGATATAAGAAAAATCTTTATTAATAACTATTTTTCTTATGTTGTGACTCAAAAGGTGACAAATATCAACCCACTAAATGCAAGATGTACATTTTCACGTAACTCGTCAAATAAACAGTCAAAATGCAAATGAAATGTCAAAAAATCCATTTGGTATCATTTCTTAGTCGTGATACCAACCTTCGGAAAATAAAATTTAATTTAAAGAATTACTACGATTGGTTAGTTGTTGGTTATTTAAGATTAATTGTCCTAAATGATCATCCTCGCATATTTAATACCATTCACATCTTTATCACCAAATGACAAATATCGATTCGATATACCGCAAAGTTACAGGCATCAATGCCTAATATTTCAAATGATGATGATGATGATGATGACATCAAGGCAAAAGAAACATACCGCAACAATGACGAGACGTGTGCTCTGAAAAGTAAATCATTTTCAAATATTAAGCCTAGATTTTTTACATTTTTTTACAATTATTGTAAATTGTAAACCATTAGTAAATAAGTAAAACTATGATTTAGAAAATTAGTCCTATTTTTTTAGTGAAGCCCCTCAGGGTACATTTGAATTTAGTGTTTGATTATTTTCGTTTTTTCGTTAATGATTTTATTACCAGCTTGAAGTGAATAGATTGAGTGTTTAAATAGTACGAGCGAGTTCTAGTCTAAGCAAATCGGCGGTATAATATAAGGACATACAGAACATAAAAACATACAAAACAAAAGTATACAAAGATTTATTCTTAATTTCTTTTTTTTAAATAATCCTTTATTCAGCCAGACACTACATGCACATATTATAATTATGTTTTACTTACTATCTAGATATGAATTAAGTTAACTTTCTAAACAATTCATTAAGCATTGGTACCGAAAGCGTTTTAACTGAATAGTTTCGACTCTTGCAAGAATTTAATTAAATGTATTATTTCATTGCATAAATATGTTTTAAATTTTTAATAAAGATATTATAAGGAGTCTCATTTTCCACAATGTTACTTGGTAGGTTGTATGTATTTGATGCCGCGCTCATTGGATTTTGCAATTCTTTATTTGTTCTGGTATTCCGTAACTGCATGTCAGTGTGATTTCTAAATTTGTTTGAGTATATTTCATTGATATGGGTTATTTTGGTGCCGATTTTAGTTTTTTTTCTGCATATGACTTATGTGAGCATTTCAATTTAGTTGCCCTAAATTTTTTATTTTATCAACTCTTTCCAAAGTAAAATCATTTATCTCTATGTTATCTCTATGTTAAATTTATTTATTTTTATTTTTTTATTTAAATAACATACAACTTATAAAAGA